CGCGGGCCGGCGGGGAAACAAAAGAGCCACGGCGGCCGGGCCGCGGAGCCCGAGATGCCGGCGCAGCCGCACTGCGCGGGGGCGGAGCTTGGGGCGGGGTCTAAAGGGCCTCGCGCGGAGGGTGGGGCGGAGCCTCTCGGGTCCGGATCCGCTGAGTGGAGAGTCTGGCAGTGGGGCGGAGCCTTGGGGCATGGGACCCTGTGAGTGGCGGAGCTGGTGGCAGGACTGGGCCTGCAGGGCCGGTCGGTGGCGTAGCTTATTTTGAGGCGGGGCTTCGGGGGGCGGAGCCTCTAGGGCCAGGACGCGGGAGGTGGGACTGGAGGCCTGGAAGGGGCGGGCCCAGAGCGCGGTCGAGCCCCGCAAAGGCGCCGCAGACGACGGGGCGGGGCCTGGGCGGGTCTTTCCGTGGGCGTGGGAGTTCCTGGGCGGGGCTACCTTGCGGGCCTGCCTGGGGCCGGGAGTGGGGCCGCGAGTGGGGCCGCGAGTGGGGCCGTGGTGGGGCGCGGGACCCTGCGGGCCCTGGATCTCGGCCGTCCTCCCGCCAGCCGCACTGTGTGCCGCGGCCCGACCTTCCGGCCCACACAACACGGCTTGAACACCTGCACGTGGCAGTGCCCGGGCCTGGCCCTGGGCAGACGAGGTGCGTTTGTGCTGCAAGCTGCAGCATGTGCTTAGCAAGCATGGGGCCGGCTTTGACCCCCAGAACCGAAACTGTAAGGAGAGAGATGCCTTGAATTCATCCCAAATCCTAAGCACAGAACGTTACCAAAACTTAGGAAGAGCCCATCCGCCTGCCTGAGAGGTCAGGGAAGCCGGGCATCAGAGCCAGCACAGCCCCGGGCACAGCGGCCGGCGTGCGGCCTGCCTTGTGCTCCCAGGGGATCCAGACAGCAGCCTGGCCCCGGCGGGCGCATGTCCTTCAGGTGCTAACCCATTTGTTCTCCACGGTTCCAGAGGGCTCTTGCTCTTCCATCCCCGTTTTACAGGTGACGAAGTTAAGTGGATGTGCCCAAGGTCCACGGCTGGCGGGAGAAACTGGCAGCACTCTCATACCAGAAGCTGTCCATAGGCTTGGTTTGGGAACAACACCAGGTGACAGAGGCAACCCTTTCTGCTGTGCAGGGCTGTACAAGTTTGGCTATTTGTCTCTTTCTTTCTTTTTTCTTTCTTTCTTTTTTGTCTTTTTCAGACAGGGTCTCACTACACAGTTCAGGCTGGCCTTGTAGCCCAAGCTGGCCTTGATCTTACAGTGATCCTCCTGCCTCAGCCTCCCAAGTGCTGCTGGGATTACATGTATGCCCCACCAAGCCTGGCTTCTTTGTCCGTTTGAAAAGGTTTCACTATCCAGTTCATGCTGGCGTTGAACCCACTCTGTGGCCCAGACTACCCTCTAGCTGGCAGCAATTCTCTTGCCTCAGCCTCCTGAGTACTCGGATTACAGGCATATTCCACCACTCCAGGACTCATGCTTTGTTAGAAATCAGGAAAGACAGGATCTTGCTTTGTTTTTTGAGACAGGCTCTCAATATGTAGTCCAGGCTGGCTTTGAACTCATGGTGACCCTCCTGCCTCAGTCTCCTGAGAGCTGGGATTATGGGCCACCATGCCCAGCTACATTTAAATTGGTTTTATGGCTACATTTGCAAAGGTATAACTCTAAATAATCCTGACTATGCCTGGACCTCAGTAGAAGAAAAAGTCAGCCCCTACACACACCTGGTCAGCACAGGGCCAGGCCCTCCTGGCAGGCTCTTGGGCACACAGCCCGGTGCCCTGGGAGGGACCTAGCCATGCAGACACCCTGTACCTGCTCTGTCCTGGCCTTGTGCCTGGGGACAAGGGGTGCACTACCCTGGATGTGCTCCAGAGGCCGGGAGGGCAGAGCACTGCTGGCCCAGTGCTTGGCTCTCCGGGTGAAAAGGTGGCCAGTGCCACACGGTCAGCCACGGGCCAGGTGTGCCCAGCTGTCCCCAGCACTGGTCACTGGGTGTCACTGACTGCCCACTCCGAGCAGGGTGGAGAGCCGAGGGCTCAGTGTGGGCTTGTGGGGAGCAGCCCTGGCCTCAGGAGCTTGCACACGGGGCAAGGGTGAGGAAGGGAACACGGACCTGGCCTGGTGGTACACACCTGCAAGCCCAGCACTCCAGAGGCTGAGGCAGGAGGATCACTGTGAGTTCAAGTCTAGCCTACCCTGCATCATGAGACCCTGTCTCAAAAAGCAAAACAACCCAGAAAACGCACAAGAAAACCAGGGCTGGGAGTGTAGATTGGTGATGCAGCACTTGGTCAAGACTTTGGGCTCACCAATCCTGAAAAAAAAAAAAAAAAAAGAATAAATCAGTTTAATCACATGTGGTGCCAGGCGTCTGTAATCCACCCCCTTGGGAGGAAGCTAAAACAGGAGGATCTCAAACTTGAGCCCAGCCTGATCCACTTGGTGAGACCCTGACTCAAACTAAAAAAAGAGAGGTCCAGCGTTTCAAGTCCACAGGGCGGTTGCCTTGGGCACACGCGTGTTGGGCTGTGTAGCCCTCACCACTGTCCATGTGCATGACACATGCACCTCCTGAGCTGCAGCTCTGCGCCCACCGAACACGACCCCCAGGCCTGACACCTGCGTCTGTGTTCTGTCCTGTGGGACTGATCACCCAAGGGGGCAGATGCGGGCTGGGTGTGTCTGTCCTCTCTCTCTCTGCTTTTATTATTATTATTATTACTTTAAAGACAGGATCTTGCTGTGTAGTCCAGGCTGGGCTTCAGCCTCCTGAGCTGGGACTATAGACATGCATGGCCACGCCTGGCTTTTTTTTCTTTTCTTTTTTTTCATTTATTTTTGTGGTATTGGGGCTCAAACCCAGTCCTCGGAGCCTGCCAGGCAAGCTCTCTACCACTGAACAGCACGCCAAGCACTCTGGGCTTTTTTTTGAGGGGGTAGATACTAGAGACTGCAAACAGGACCTTTGCAATGATCTACATCCCAGCCCCTTAGTATTATTTACTTGTTTAGAGATAGGGCCTCACGATGTATCTCATGGTACATTCCAGTTCATGGCAATCCCCCTGACTCAGCCTCCCCAGTGCTGGAGTTCCTGGCTTGCACCACCACACCCGGCTCTTGTTTTTTGTTTTGAGACAAAGCCTCCCTAAATCACTAAGTCTCCCAGGCTGGGCTGGAACTTGTGATTCTCCTGCCTCGGCCTTCCCAAGGAGTGCTGGGATTCCAGGTGAGTGTTCCACCCCCAGCTGGCCTGTTTGTTTTATAAATAGCAGGGGTAGGTGTGAAGTGATCATCTTCCCAGTGTGATTTGCATCTCCGTGGCTCACCCTGCTGATGGCTCTTGGCACGCACCTGGGCTTGGGTCAGGTCCCTTGCCCTGTGCTTTCCCAGTGTGGGGCAGCAGGGCCGCCACACACAGGCAGGTGGCAGGCGGCAAACATGGCCTGGACCCCTGCTTGCTTGTGTTTGGGCAGACCAGTGGCCACAGGGCTGGGGCAGCAGCCCATCACCTGTCCTGCCCGACAGCCACCCTCCTGCCAGGGGTCCTCCCAGGGGCTGTGCCTGGCGCTGCCATCGGGTGGGACAGCCAGGGACGGCAGCAGTGGTATCTGGGTCATTTTCCCAGACAGTGGCAGGAGCCAGGCTGGTTGGTGGAGCACATGCCTGGACCCCCGCACTCTGCCCAGCTCAGGCAGCTTGGTGACTTAGTCTGTGGACAGAGCTCCTTGTGGACGGAAACAGAAAAGGAGAAGCCAGACACAGAAGGTCGTGGCATTCAATCCTGTTTCTACGGAATGTCCAGAAGTGGCAGGGCCATGTCACCGGCGGGTCAGAGGTCCCCAGGACTACAAAACAAAATAGGGTGGACAGGAGCAAAAAGCCCAGGGACCAGAGGCAGAGCGGTGGTCAGGGCCCCCAGGGCTGACTGGGTCACAGACAGTGGGGAGCAGAGGGTGCTGTGCTGAGCACCTCCGGGGCGCAGGGCCAGGCTCGCAGCCTGAGTTACCATCCCTGGAAAACAGTGTGATACCAGGACCTGGCCAATGACCAGGGCGGCGCCACGCAGGAGTTGCCGGCCAAGGTGAGCCCAGCCCTGCCCAGCCCCCTCGCTGCAGAGCCTCCCTTTTCCTCCTGGCCTGGGGCTGCAGCCAGGAAGAAAGCGCTCAGAGCCTGGGGCTGGGGCTGTGGGAGGAGTGCAGAGGAAGAGAGTGGGCCAGGCCCAGCAAGGGCCACACCTGCCCTCC